TATTTTAAAAAACGAATTAAAAACGAAGAAGATACCATATGGTATGCAGTTGGTAACGAGAGGCACGAAATGTTTATTTTCTCAAAAAATATTCAAAATGAATCTCATTTTGTAGAGCACAACGAACTCGTTCCAACTGTGAAATTTGTTTTGAAATCCGAGTTAAAACGAAGAAGATATGAGCCGATTAAGAAAACAAGAGAAAATAAAAATATTTTTAATTCTCCCCTTAAATCTGAATTTTTTGAATGAAGGGTCCAAATTTAGTTTCAAAATCAAATTTAATTACTTAAAAGAGATTTGTTCATGAACTGATTGCCGATTTGATTTTGTATATTAGAATGGTGGAGAAGAGGTAGCCCTTAGCCGGATTGGGGTTAGTTAAGTAGATTTTGAAAAAATTGGAGCTAACGTTAGCTATATTATAAATTTATTATTATATCCTTTATATTTTAAAGGAATGAATGGGTTGTAGTTTAATGGAAACAAGATAATTATTAATATATATATATATAAATGTGAAGTAAGGTTATTGTTGCCAAACGAAGTAAATTTTGATCATCCAAATTTAATAAAATTACAACTTAATTACTATAATGTATATTTTATATTTTGATATCTCAAATTTAATTTTGATGTAAAATTATTAAATAATTATGTTTTAGTATCTAAACTTTATGAGATTTTCGTACCTGCAATTTTTAAAATTTACATATTGGTCCCATTTTTACATTTCACTTGAATCCATAAATCCAATCCACTAATCCATAAATCTAGTCCCCCATAAAATTAAAGTATAAATTTAGTTTGGTATTTGATGAGATTTTTACTTCAACAAAACATGTATGATATCCATTTGAAATAGTAATTATCATTTTTTAAAAGAACATTCTATTCGGTGATGTGACAACATATATAGTAAAATATAATAAAAATATATTAAGATATTGATCTGTACGAAGTATTGGTATGACATTTTAATTGAACAATATTTTAAAAAATCAACATTAATAAATATCAAAATTTAAAAGTTAATATAAGTATAAAAATGACCCAACCTTTCCATCATCTACTTTCTCTTCATTTCATTTTTCACTCGCCTTCCATAACTCTTTCTTTATTTCTTTCTTTACCTTCTTCGTCTAACCCTAATTAATATACTATTTTTATGTATTCTAATCATAAGTATGAACGGCTCCATACACGACTCACCAACACTCTAGAGAATTAATAATTGAACTATGAACTTTTTCAGCTCAATGTAGAGTCCAATTAAAAATCAAGATATATGATTATTACTTATTAGAAAGTCAGCATTTTTCACTATGGTATTTGAAGGCGTGAAATTTTAAGTGAGTTCCCGTTTGTATTCATTTTGCTTCTCTATAGAGTTTTTCTTTTTCACCCAGGCTAGATTTTCAACAATTATATGTTTGGCTAGGTATCTACACATATCAAATAAATAGTTTTCATTTTTATATAAAAAAGTAAATAATTATCATATTAAATACATCACCATTAAAGAAATTAAACCTCAACTATACAAATTATAGTTCAGTACCTAAACTTAATAAATCTTAGATTTATACCCTAAATGTTTTTTAGCATTACAAGTCCTCAAAAATAAAAATATTGATGGAACAATACAATTTAGTACCTAATTTTTTTTGTACTACATTTTGGTACCTAAAATTTGAAGTTCTACAAATAGTTCTAATTTTTGTATATGTAATTAAAATATCTTCGAATAAATGGATATACATACCCAACTCATACACATTTAGATTATGGAAGTAAATATCCACACGCTACCCAAACTCATATATACGTCATCCATACCCTAGTCATAATTAATGGGTCTATTTGGGTTTAGGTAAATATCATTTATCAGCCCAAAATTTCAAAATATTTGAATTTGGATGTTGACTGTCATATATATTTTTTCATTCAATATCATATTGTCAAGTTAATATTATTAACAAAACTTCTAACAAAAAATAAATTTATGCTAATTATACTAACAAAACACCATAACGGGCCACATAATACATGCCGATAGGCGATCTCCGTCCGCGACAAAGCGCGGCATCGCTACCTAGTTATTATATATAAAGAAGAAGCAATGTTACTGTTGCATAAATTACTATATTTTGATACCCCCAAATTTAATTTAATTACAACTTAGTCACTATAATGTATATTTTACATTTTGATATCCAAAATTTATTTTTAATGCAAAATTAATAAACAATTATATTTTGGTATTTAAAATTAATGAGATTTTCGTACTTACATTTTTTAAAATGTACACATTGATACAATGTTTAGATTTCACTCGAATCCATGAATCCAATACACCAATTCTTCTGAACCAATTCATGAATCTAATCCACCATAACATAAAAGTATAAATTTAGTCTGTTGTATCACTCAACTGTAGGAGAAGATTCGAACATTTTATATTTTCTCATTACGTGAAACATTAAATAAATATAAAAAAGAGACGACTCTAAAATATTATAAGAGCGAATTTATAAACTCATTTAGTACATTTACGGGGTACTAAACGAACTTCTACTAACTACATGTAACGAAATATGCGACATCTACATGAACAAGTGTCAATAAATTGCTACGGTGCAAAGGGTTGACTGTTGTATTGACGGTCAACTAAAAGAATTGGTCAAAACCTTTCCATCATCTACTTTCTCTTCGTTTTATTTTTCACTCGCCTTCTATAACCCTTTCTTTATTTCTTTATTTGCCTTCTTCGTCCCACCCTAATTAGTATATTATTTCCATGTATTCTAATCGCAAGTATCAATGGGTTCATACACGACTGACCAACAGTCTGGAGAAATAATAATTGAACAATGAACCACTAACTTTTTCAGCTCAATGTCAAATAAATATATTTGGTTATTGCTTATTAAAAAGTCTTCATTTTCCACTATTCATTTTGCACTATAGAATTTGAAGGAGTGAAATTTTAATCGAGTTCCAGTTTGTATTATTTTGTATCTCTCTAGAGTATTTATTTTTCAGCCAGGCTAGAATTTTCAAAAATTATACATGGAATTTTCAAGAATTATACATATCAAATAAATAGCTTCCTATTTTCTATAAAAAATAAATAATTATCATCTTAAATACATCACCATAAAAGGAATTAAGCCTCAACTATGCACATTACAGTTCGGTACCTAAACTTAATAGATCTTTAGATTTATAACCTAAATTTATTTTTTTGGCATATAAGTCCTTAAAATATTGACGGAACATTACGTTTTTAGTACCTAAAATATATGTATTATATTTTAGTACCTAAACTCTTGAAATTCTACGAATAGGTCTAATTTTGTTATGTGTAATTAAGACACCCTCGAATAAATGGGTATCCACACCCAACTCATACACATTTAGATTAGTAAAGTAAATATCCATAACCTACCCAAACCAATCTACTACAAACTTTCAGACCCATATATTTCACCCATACCCTACTCATAATCAATGGGTTTGCTTGGGTTTAGGTTAATATCATTTATTAGCCAAAATTTTCAAAAATAAAATTTATTGGTTGACCGTCATATATCTTTTCTCACTCAATATCATATTGTTAAGTCAATATTACTAAAAACTACTAACAAAAAGTTAATTTTAGGCTAATAATACTAACAAAACACCATAACGGAACACATAATTAATGTCAATTGATCATCTCCATCCCGCGACGAGGCGCGGCATCTCCGCCTATTAATTAATATATATATAAACTTAAATCCAATTTACTGTTCACTAACCTAGGCCTTTCATTGGCTCTTCATTTGATATGGGTACTTCGTTTGAGCTATACGGGTGATGGGTTTTTAGAATTGTGGCTCCACTTTTTATTAAAATTGTTTGGACTATTTTATTTGTATTGTGTGCCATTTTTATTCTTTCTTTCATAATTGTCTCTAGATTTGAATATGTTTAAATTAGCTTTTCATTTTTCTTTTTTGTTAGGAACCGAAGTTAGATATGGTCTTAACATCACCTAATTGAAGACTGGAGAATATTTAACCCGTTTGAACTATGGTTCACTTGATTTTACTTACAAAAAAATTTATTTTGTCCATTTGGAAAAATTATTAACTGCTTTTCTAAAGAATATTCTATGGAATTACATGACACCATATTCTGTAATATATATGGTATAGGTACGTTACGATATTGATACTGGCATAAGTTTTTGTCATTTTAATATAACACAAGTATGCTCTAGATTTTGTCACTTCGCCATCAGAGCACTAATACCCCACAATAATTATTATGTATCATGGACTCCAATTCGATCTAAGATAGGGTGTATAATCGTTGGTTCTGCATTTGTGCTTAACTAGATATGGTCATTTATTTCGAGTATGTCTTTTACTTTTCGTACTTTCCGATTTTTATTTGTGCATAACAAGAATTATTATGCTCTAGATTAGGAAGTCTTTTCCTTTTCCTACTTTTCGAATTTTAATCTTTTCGCACAAATGGAACAGTTAACATGGAATCAATTTAGACTCAAGTTGAGAACTTGAATTAGTCAAACTAGGCGCCTCGAATTTTAATTTTTTTTCGCACAAATGGAACAGTTAACATGGAATCAATTTAGACTCAAGTTGAGAACTTGAATTAGTCAAACTAGGCATCTGAGGTTGGAGAATTGTTCAACCAAATTGAAGAAATTTAAAAATGAACTTATTATAGTTTGATCAATAAATGTTGAAACCCCTTTGTAATTTTTATCATGTTGCCCCAATTCACAAATATATGGTTTTAGGATGAGTCAATAAAAGTCTAACACGTACCGATTAAAAGTCAAAACAAAACGATACAAAATGAGCTTACCACCAATGACAATACAAATAACATCGGGTCGTTGCAGAGCTCGGCCAGCACGTATCTAGTTATATACTTACTCGAGAAACAATCCTGAAAGAATGGAGCCAACGCTCTGTTTTCTCTGAATGAACCACCAGAATCACTCGCCGGCGGCTGATCTGAATCATTCAGACAGACCACCGGATCCTGGCCAGGATATGAGCAGCGGATGTGATACGTCCATGTCCGTGGAGCTAACCGCCGTCAATGAATCTGACCGCTCAGTGGCGGCGACGGAGGCAAATATGACTAAGGCCCCGAGACAACAGGAGATCCTTCTGAGCCAACAGATGGCTACCCAGCCTCTCTCGTATGCAAATGCGGTGATGGGGAAAGCCACGAATACGTTTCAGAACAAGATAGCCTAGACCCCAGTTGGCGAGCACGACCTAATCAGAGATATCTACAATGGGGAACCGGAGCTGAGGATCTCGAATGTTTTCAAGGAAAGATTATGTGTCTCCTGGCAACGCACTCTCGTAGTTCGGGTCCTTGGTCTGAGTATCTCTTTCGCAGCGTTCAGCAACAGAATCAAAAGCCTCTGGCGTCCATCGGGAACAATTGAGATCATGGCTCTAGGTCAGGAGTGTTTCTTAATCAAGCTTAGCAACGATTCTGACTACTTTCGGGCCTTAACGGAAGGGCCATGGGTCATCTTTGACCATTACCTGGTCGTTTTTCAATGGACACCAGATTTCCGTCTGTCGGATGCCATGCCAAAGTCCATGGTGGTGTGGATTCAACTCCCGGCTTTCCCGGTACACTTTTACCACAAGGAAATTCTGTTCACGATAGGGAACATGATTGGTCAGGCAATCAAGCTTGATTTTCACACACAACACCAACAACGTGCGAAGTTCGCTCGGATAGCTGTGGAGCTCGACCTCTCCAAACCTCTGATCACACGGATCCGGCTGGACGGAAAGTGGCAATACATCGAGTACGAAAATCTGCCAACCTGTTGCTTTGAATGTGGCAAAATTGGCCACACTTCCTTGACGTGCCCCCTTACGATGATGAAGGCTCAACAGTCACAATCGGAACCGTCTCAGAGGTCGCCGGAAAACTGGGAAGAAACGCCGTCGGAGGACAAGGCCGGTTTCGGGCCTTGGATGCAAGTGACGCGTCGAACCCGGCGAAACAACAGGAAGGCTGAGAAAGGAAACTCTAACGTCAATCAGGGAGAGGCGGCTGGTAATGGAAGGCCTGGGAAAGGAAAGCATGTGAATACAGATGTGGAAATCCTTAACGGAAAGAAGGGAGGACAAAAGGAAACTGGAAAAAAGGAAACTGGGGCTCAGGAAAAAGGAAGGGCCGATGATAATGGCCAACGAAAAGGGAAGGAAGGGGTTGGTAAAGATATGGTGGAAGAGGCAACGGGTGGGAAAGGAATTCTTGGGCCCATTCCGTCTGCGAAAGCTGGACTCTTTGCCGGGCTTAATAAGGAGACGGGCCTGTCCAGGAGCAAGGAGCCTGGAGCTAAACCAAGCTCTAGTGGAAACAGGCCGAGTGGAGGCCATAATAAACCAAAGCCCAATGACAACACTTCTCCTGCAAGCCCGCCGCCCACTACACAGCTGACAGGCCCGAATGCCACGAACATTCAGATTGTAAGTGTCCCAACGCTGGAGATGCAAAAAGAGTCGGCGGCTAGAGCAGAGGCTCCATCGGCGACAGCCCGGACCAAAAATCGCAGCCCTCAAAACAAAAAGAAGGCAAAGTCGCCTCGCAAGTCTCCGACGAAGGTGGCGATGAGGGCTCTTCAAGTCTGGACGCCGGTCAAGCAGAGGAAGTCAAAGGCTAGAGCAAAAATGGCGTCCTTGACCCTCGAAGAGATCGCAGCTTGGACAAGTGCTGGGCAATCGGGACAGGAAGTAGGAGGGGAGCCGGGTCTGCCAAAGAAAGATTCTCGCATGGCGGTGGCAGATCTAGCTAATCCGACAGCGGCTTCCTAGCCGTGGCTGATCCTTTCTCTTATCATTTCTCCCTCGTCTTTATTCAATTTTTGTTTTTAATGTCTGGTTTTTCAAATTGCAAGCCCTCTTTTCTCTCGTGGAATGTTGGAGGCGCTGGCAACAGTGCCTTCATCAGAGCTTTGAAGCTCATTGTCCTTAATCATAAACCTGACTTTTTGATTCTTTTGGAATCGCAGATCAGCGGGGAGGTGGCGGATAGAGTGTGTGGAAGGATGGGATTTCCGAATATTATGAGGGTGGAGGCGGATGGTAGGAAAGGTGGAATTTGGCTCTGTTGGGATGCGAAAGTCTTTACTGTTGAGTTGATTTCAGCCTGCTTCCAGCACCTCACGGTGAGAGTCACGGGCACGGCTACGCCACCCTGGCTCCTGATAGCAGTCTATGCGAGCCCAAAGCAGGAACTGCAGCGGTTCTTATGGCAGGCCATCGAGAAAACCCAGAGAGGAGCTTGACCTTCCTTGGCTCCTCACTGGGGATTTTAATGCCATCCGTACCCCGTTGGAGCAAACGGGCAGAGTTACGAATGCCATACTTCGCCGCTGTCAACGTTTCAGTGAGAGGATCGATCATGCTGAGTTCATTGACATTGGGTATTCAGGACCACGATTCACTTGGACCATAGGAGAAAATCCTGAATCTTATAAAGCCAGTAGGATTGATCGGAGCGTATGCAACTTGTCGTGGAATGGCAGCTTCCCCAACATGTCGGTTCTCCACCTACCTCGTCTCCACTCCGATCATCATCCCATCTTAACCACGACAGGGAGTCAGGGAGTTCTCTCATCCCCTTCTCGTCCTTTTCGTTTTGAGGGTGCTTGGCTAACCCATGAAGCTTATGCTGATTTCCTTGCCACCAGCTGGGACTCGCAAGCGCCACTTCAGGAGGCGTTGAAGAAGGCGGCAGAAAAGCTAGCTGAGTGGAACAGATCTACCTTTGGCAATGTGCTAAAAAAGAAGAGGAGACTCCTCAAGCGTATTCATGGCATTCAAGCTAGGGTGGCAAATGAATTCTCACCGGGGCTGTTCAAACTGCAAACGAAGTTAGAGAAAGAGCTTGACGAGGTCTTGGAGCAGGAAGAGGTTCTGTGGTTCCAAAGGGCCAGGGAGAAGTGGGTGAAGTTCGGCGAGCGGAACACGGCATACTTCCACCAGCAGGCGATTATCAGAAGGCGGAGAAACAGAACTACGAGCCTGAAGAACAGCTCGGGGATTGGATTTCTGATCCCCATGAGCTGGCAGCTCTGGTCTTTGATTTTTTCTCCCTTCCGTACCTGCAGGATGACCAGGAGTACACTGACGAGATGCCCAAGCACGCCTTTCCGAGGATTCGGCAGGAGGATCTCCTTTGGCTGCTGCGTCCTTTTACTGAGGCATATATCCAGGGAGCGGTTCAGGACATGAAACCTTTTCAAGCTCCTGGCCCGGATGGATTTCAAGCCATCTTCTACCAAAAGTCTTGGCAGGTGGTCGGTAAGGCTTTGTGTGATTTGGCCCTAAGTTTTTTTTTCCTCAGGTGAGTTGCCGGAAGAAGTGGTGGAGTCTACTGTGGTGCTTATACCCAAGGTGGAACATCCGGAAATGGTCTCCCAACTTCGGCCGATCTCCCTGAATAACGTGTGTTTGAAGGCCATCACCAAAGCCATCACCAACAGACTCAAACCCATTATGAGGAAACTTGTGTCTCCGCGACAGAGTAGTTTCATCCCTGGGCGCCAAACCACAGATAACATTATTGTTTTGCAGGAAGTTTTACATTCTCTCAGGAAAAAGAAAGGGAAAAGAGGGGGAATTGTGTTGAAGATTGACCTGGAGAAAGCCTATGACCGCCTTAGGTGGGACTTTCTGCGGGATACTCTCAAGGAAGTAGGCCTTCCCAGCTCGTGGATTAACTGAATCATGTTCTGTGTGGAGCATAACAGGATGAGACTGCTGTGGAATGGAGAGCTCTCAGCCCCCATTAACCCGACTAGAGGAGTCAGACAGGGAGATCCCCTCTCGCCCTATCTTTTTGTTTTATGCATGGAGAGACTTTCTCACAGAATTGAACAGGCTATTCAGGATAAGCTCTGGAAACCTTTGAAACTGTCCAAAGGGGGTCCTGAGATTTCTCACTTGTTTTTTGCAGATGACCTCATTCTTTTTGCAGAGGCAGAAAGCTCCCAAGTGCGGATAATCAAACAGTGTTTGGATGAGTTTTGTCATAGTTCGGGACAGAGAGTTAACTATAACAAGTCGGCTTTTTTTGTCTCGGCTAACATTGACAGGAGGAGAGCTCGGCGGCTTTCTACTAGAGCTGGGATTCCGCTCACTGTGGATCTGGGGCATTACCTGGGAGTGATGGCAATCAACGGCGGGTTACAAAATCCCGATACCAAGATCTTATCTTGAGAATCCAAAAGAAGCTCGCCCCTTGGAAGACTAGACACCTCTCCCTCGCTGCTCGCATTACTGTGGTGAAGTCTATCTCTGCCTCTATACCTATTTACCCGATGCAGACAGAACTTCTCCCTTTGAATGTTTGCAGGACTCTGGATCGGGTCAACAGGGGTTTTATTTGGGGAGACACTGAAGCCAAGAAGAGACTGCACCTTGTCGGATGGACGCAGATCATATTACCCAAGAGAAATGGAGGACTTGGAATCCATCCGACAAGGGAGGTGAACCTATCAATGCTAGCCAAAGGCGAGTGGCGCATCATGCAAGAAAAGGAGAATTTATGGGTGCAATTAGTTCGAAACAAGTATGGAGGGGATCGGCAAAATAGAGATCCTGAAGCATGTCAAGGGAAGTTCCTTTACCTGGGCTAGCTTCACCAAAGCTGCCGATCTTTTAAAACAGGGGTGTGCCTGGAACATTCATAGAGGAAACCAGACTAAGTTTTGGTCTGATCCGTTGATTTTGCAGGTCCCGCTGTACGAGGTAGCTACGGAGACGATCTCGGAGGAGGAGCGACTAATGCCGGTGTCTGAGTTCGTTGATGATGAAGGAGAGTGGAAAGTCGAGAAGTTCGGAACTAGACTTTTGCAGGAGATGGTTCAGAAGATCACAGCCCATGCTATTGACCCATTGGCGACAGAGGATGACAAGCTATTCTGGAGAGAAACATCTAATGGCCGTTTCTCTACTAAGAGCGCGTACTAGCTAATGCAGAATGCTCCCTCGAGCGACCAGCAGCAGTGGTGGAAGACAGTTTGGCAGCTTCCTGTTCCTGAACGTATTAGATGTTTCATTTGGCTGGCTGCGCAGAGGAAGGTGAGCTCAAATGAGTTTAGAGCACAAAGGCACCTGACACAGGAGGTCCCTTGTTACAGATGTGCGACCCAGACTGAGAGCCTCTCTCACATTTTCCGTGATTGCCCACCGGCAGCCTACTTCTGGCACCGCATGATTCCTAAAGTTTTGCAGCAGGAGTTCTTCAGTCTGCCTTTGGAGGATTAGTTGCACCAAAATATTACCAGCAAGAATTCGACGTCCAATGGGCTTCCTTGGGATGCTTTCTTCAGCATTGCAATTTGGTCCTTGTGGAAGAACAGGAATGAAGGAGTCTTTAAAGGCCTTAACAAGACTCTATCGGCCCCTTCCCTTGTGCAGGCTATCAAGATCAAGGCTAGTCTATGGATTCAGGCTTGGAATGCACCTTCTACCCTGATTAGTAGAGGGAACACTGCTCCGAGCCGTTCTTTAATGCAGATAGGGTGGACACCCCCGCCGACAGGGTGGACAAAGATCAATGTGGACGGAGCTGCTGGTGGAGCGCACGGTCTGGCTGGGGCAGGTGGGGCTGCCCGGGATGCGAACAACGAATGGCTTGGAGGTTTTGTGACGAGTTTGGGCTCTTGTGCGGCAATTTTGGCGGAGCTCTGGGCTATCTACCATGGGCTGAGGTTAGGCTGGAGTCTTGGCTGCAATACCCTCATCATTGAGTCAGATTCCCAGCTGGCCTTACAGCTGGTGAAGAACAGGGCCGATCCTTTACACCCTCACGCGGCTATTTTATCAGCTATTAGGAGGAAGATCTCTCAAGATTGGGTGGTGCGACTGATTCATACATACCGCGAAGAGAATAGAGTCGCGGACTGGCTCTCGAAGCACAGTCTCGTCTATCCCTATGGTATGTATGAATTGGAATCTCCACCGCTAGAGTTACTTCCCCTTCTGGAGAAAGATCAGAGAGGTACTACGTTTCCTAGAAGGGTGGTGAATACCTCCCCTGCGTCTTCTGCTTAATCCACCCCCGCCCCCGTTTTTCTTCTTTCTCTGGCTTCTTAGCCTCCTGTAATGCAAAAAAAAAATCTAGTTATATACTTAATGATGCTTTGATTGTAACAGTTTAGACATGAGGTGAGGTTTTTGTCACCCTGTAGGGCATTGTTGATGAGAGTAATATCTCATTCCAGCACCTTGGGTAGGAGTGGAGAGAATCAGGTATAAAGCCAGTTTATATTCTTTAACATGGGATAACATCTTTTTTCCCCTCTTGCTTCTCAAGCGCACTTGTTTATTCTATTAAATTTGTATCATCCTTATAAATAAAAAAGAAAGCGTTAACTCTTGAACGAACAAGTTATTATTATTATTATTATTATTATTATTATTATTATTATTAAACCTAATGTCATTTTACTGTTCAATAATAGTTTTGTTTTTATAGATTAAAGTTGAAACAATTACAATTAGCACTTTGCTACGATGACGGTGACATGCATGTCACCGTCAACATGCAATTTTTGGTCGACCTCATATAGTATAGATTGACCTAATATGATGTTTCAGTTTTGTGAGGTTCAACAACGCGTTTGACCTTTTATAGCAAAATGGTCGACCTCTTTGAGAAGCGAATAAAATAAAAGGTCAACCCAAATACCTCAAAGGCTGACCATTTTGCACTTAATAGGTCGACCTCATAAGTACGAGGTCGACCGCGTGCACACCGTATCCGTATTAGATAAGGATTCCAACACCAGAAAGGTAACCCTAAC